GGAAGTATTTACAGCAAAAGAGGAGTCTGTAATTCGAAATCCAAAGTCTAACAAAGAAAGGCCAGTAGAAGATTCATAGTAATAATGGGAATATTTGGAGTAAAAAGGGAAGTCGTCCTAGGCACTTCAGACAAGTTGGAAAAATATGGATCCAGAAGAACAGACCAAGACGTATTCAAGGTCTTGAAGAAAGTGGCGACAAGAAGAATACGGAAGGAAGCCTGACTGAGTCCAGGAGAGTGATTGGACGACGCCTATCCAGGATTAGAGGAGTTAGTAATATCTCTTTTGAGATTATTGGTGGGATGTCGGTAGATATCCCGACTGGAAAAGCTTCTACACCAGGGCCATTGGAAGAAGCAGAGCGAAAATGGAACAGCATCAAGCGTTGGATTGGTGGTGGTATGAAGAATCGATGGGATGTGACCTCTAATAAAAACAGGCTGTCAAGTGTTTTGCCAGTAAGCACCCCATCTCCCAGAAACTGCAATAGGTATCAGGTAGAAGAATGGAACACATGTCTGCTACCGGAAATGAACAGTGAGCTGAAAGGGTGTGGGCAGGAACAGTACTCTCCACATTCGAGATCATTGAGAAAGCAATCGCGACGTAGGAGGGAGGAAAAAGAGAACAAGAAGCCAGTTCCGAGGAATACCAATACCGGCATACTGAAACAAGAAGATGAGATCCCCTGTCTAATGGCGACAAAAAAGGATTCGATGCCGAGGAAATGAAGAGAGATGAAAAAGAGATAACGCTAGAACCAGAAGAAACCACAGACATGAAGAGAACATGTACCTTCAATAAAACATTAGTCCCAAGAAACAGCAATGTCGAGATGCCGAGGGACCGTGAAGAGAATGCAACATGTGCGAATGGGGAAAGAAGCAAGGACAAATTAGCACCCGAACCAGCCACCTGTAGCAAAACAATGGAATTAAATGATACACTTACCTGTGGCGAGACACTGGTTCCAAAGAACAACAATACTGGGATGCTAAGCGATCATGGACAAACTCCAACCACCGAAAGAAGTGGCGAGGAAGGTCGCGACGTTGAAGAAATCCCAAATGAGGCCCTAGAAGAAGAAATGCAGAAGGAATCAAAGAGGGATGCGGTTATGAGACTAATTGAGAAGGAAACAAGACTTACCAGCATGAGAGCCTATGATGAGAGCGACGGATGCTGGAAAGAAGAGATCATAGTCATATGCGATGACCCACCTGATAGTACAGAAGAATGACCGACCACTACTGACCATTGTGATCAAGGAGGAAATGGCATTGTGCAAGATGATATGAAACCTGGCAGAACCAATGGAAGAAGAGATAAGTTAGAGATGAACCGGAGAGAAGACCACCCGACGATTGGAGAGATAGAGTCTCGAACCGATGGACAATGGCGACGAAAGACAAAAGGAGTTATAATGACATACCTAACAACACTATCTTCAGAGACACGGCAACTATGCGATATGGTTACAATCTACAATCAATCGGCATCAAAAAACAATCAGACGAAAAAGGGAGAAGCGACATCATCAACAGTTTATCACAGATCATATCAGGCCATATTATCATCACAGACGAAAGCCATGACGACAAGACTGGACAAGCAACAACATCAGAATGACATGTACTATTGAGAGAGCTACGCTGTATTAATGACATATTACAAAGCTGAAGCTACCTCTGAAGCCATAGGACAACGTATTGCAGATTTTATTTATCAAGTTATTATTTGTAGACATGGATGTTCAAAGCAGATACTTTCAGATAGAGAAACACACTTTCGAAATGAAATTGTGGAAGCTTTATTAAGAAAATTTGAAATAGCACATCCATATTCCATCCTGTACCACCCTTAAACAAATGGATTGGTTGAACGTTTTAATAGAACTTTATGGTAATTACTGGCCAAAATTACCAAAGGAAATCAGGATTGGGACGAATTTATAACACCAATACTTTTTGCATATCGGACCCCCAAACAAGCAACAATCAAAATAATATCCTTCTACTTAGTTTATGAATGAAACTCCACAATGCCCTACGAAGAAATAGACGAAATTGTTAATGGAAATATTCTTGACCGATTATATATTGTTAAAGTGAAAAATAAACTATATAAATAAGAAGAAAAATAAAAGTAAAATGAAGTAGAATATGTGACTCTCTCCTGTAAATCAATTTTTAACAAAAAATTTCCTTTTATAGTAACAACCTTTAAAACAAACATTTTGTTCTTTCTCAAGCGC